GCGGGCGCGCGTGGCCCCCACAGGTGTGGCGGCGCTGCCCGCGTCCCCCGCGGAGGGGCCCGGGGCTGTGTCCCCCGCGGCGAGCGGGGGGTCACGGCGGGACCCAGCCCCACGCGGCCCTCATGGTGCCCGTGGGCTTTGCTCGCTGCGAGCCCGCGTGGGGATGATGCGAGGAGAAGGGGAAGAGGGAAGCCCGCTCCAGGATCCTGCCCTGCGGGCAGCCCTGAGGGTGGCATCACTGTCTCCTTCCTTTGTGCCCCTCCATCACTGACCAGCCCCTCTTGTCTTCCCCGCAGCAAGGAGAGCTCAACTCCTTCCTCTGGACCATTCGCCGTGACCCCCCCGCTTATCTGTTCGGCACCATCCACGTGCCCTACACGCGAGTTTGGGACTTCATCCCCGACAACTCCAAGGCCGCCTTCCACGCCAGCTCCAGCGTCTACTTCGAGCTGGACCTCACGGACCCCTACACCATCTCGGGGCTGGCCAGCTGCCAGATGCTGCCCCACGGGGAGAACCTGCAGGACGTGCTGCCCCGGGAGCTGTACCGCCGCCTCAAGCGCCACCTGGACTACATCAAGCTGATGCTGCCTCACTGGATGACCCCGGATCAGCGGGGCAAAGGGCTCTATGCCGACTACCTCTTCAACGCCATCGCCGGGAACTGGGAGCGCAAGAGGCCCGTCTGGGTGATGCTCATGGTGAACTCCTTGACAGAGACGGACATCCGCTCCAGAGGAGTGCCGGTGCTCGATCTCTACCTCGCCCAGGAGGCAGAGAGGATGAAGAAGAAGACCGGTGCGGTGGAGCGGGTGGAGGAGCAGTGTCACCCTCTGAATGGGCTCAACTTCTCCCAGGTAAGGAGGCTTCTGGGCCTCGTGTCTTATCCCAGGATGTGGGGGGTATTCTCCGTGCACTTTCATCAGTTGATGGGGGTGAACCCCAAGCTTCTGCAGCAGGGTGGTCACTCGTGGGCCTCAGCAGCTTTTGTGCTGGGCTGTTCTCCATCATGCCAATCTGTGCTGCCTGCAGAAACCCCGTGATGTGCGTGGCGAGTGCGTGTGTATCACGTGTATAATTTATTTGAGAGGCAAATGTCCAGGGTGTGAATGTGTGTGTCTGCTTGCCTGCCACTTGTGAGGGAAACTTACATGCTTCCCATCCTGTGCCGGAGCTGGGTAAAAAGTGATTTTTTTGTTTGTTTGTTTGTTTTGAAGTAAAGCAGCTCTGTGGTACTTGTCAGGAAGAGGATGAAGCATGAACAATGAAAATAGAAATTTCCACATTGTTCAGATTGATTTAAGTGCATGCAAACTGTCAGTTGTCTTTTTAGTGGTCACTCTGGGTCAAAACAAAGTGGCTCATGTTGCCCTTGTACTGGGGGAAAATGAGTGTGCAATATACATGGGTTTATTTCATTTTAGAGCAGGTAAATTTCAGCAAACAGAAAAGGATGTAGGTTAAGAAACAAAAGTTATTGGTGTAACTGGAGCCAGGAATTCTTTCAATGGATTTAGCTTTAAACAGCCAAATACTAAGCCATGAGATCTATTTCATTTCAGTGGATTAATGAGGAACACAGTAACAGCTATTGACTTTGCTTTGCGGAACTGTTTATGTGAAATGAGATTTACTAGAAATTGAGGAAATGAATGTGTGTGGAAGACAACAAATAATCCGGGGGAGATTTAAGATGGTGTCAGTTACTGCTATGATATTTCATTTTTAACCTGCTTTTCGTCATTAGTTTTGGATCGGTCTATTTCCAACCTTATCTTACTGTCCTACTTTGACCAAAAAAATTCTTGGTGATGTGGGGGAATAAGGATTAAAGGACTAATCTTAGGTGTGATTAAAATGTCCTTAGAGTGCCTTCACCCCCCTGCTCCCCTGAAGTCCAGCAGGAGCTATTTGAAGGGAAAAAAGTCTGGCTTTCACTAATATTTGGTTCATCCGATTTTTCAGCTAGGAGTCTTAACTCTGCATACAGCCTTCAGAGAAGACTTGTTCCATACACTTTTGAATGTATTTTCTTGTTTATCAACAAAAATAATTAAAAGAAAGCCTCTCAGGACCTTTGCATTATTTAACACACATACAAATAAAGGAATTCGTTTTGCACTATTCTGTCTGAAAGGTTAAGTGCCTATCCTCTCTCTTGAGCCCCTTCTTTAAGGTGAAGTAAAAATAATTAACCATTCCAGACATCCTATACTGTTTGGTTGTATTAGATCATAAATGGCAGTTACAATCAAGCACATGAAAGCACCTGGTTAAAAATGTACCACTTGGAAGCCTTTTAAATGTGAATCATACTACATTTTTTTTCTTTTCAGAGAGAGTGAGCAACAGAGAAAGGAAAAGGGACAGAGTACAAAACTCACTGCTGCCCTTAACCATAATTGTTTCTCTGTCCAACTTTTAAATAGAAACAAAAATTTCCCATTCATTTTGCTCCAAAAATAATCTAAAAAAGAACAGTAAAGGTATTACTGCTATTGGCAAGCAAAGGACAGTCATTTATGCAAAACATTTGTGCTGATTAAAAGAATACATTTCATTTTAATTGTTAGAGAGAATTGACAAAGTTGCTGAAATAGATCAATGTTCAGGAGGAATTTTCCTAGATTGAAGCTTTTTCTGGGAACAAGGCCACCAGAACAACAGGAGACAAAATTAAACAAAACAAACCAGATATTTATTTTCTTGCTTCCTCTAGATTTCCATGCATCCTGACACCTGGCTAGTTGTTTAACAATAGTAATTTGTAATGTTATCACACCGTCTGGCAGTCCTACTGCTTGGTGTATTACTGTGCTAATTTAGTGGAGTGGATTACTATTGCAAGGTTTTACCTCCCAATTCCAGGTCTTGGAGCCTTCCTTAAGCAACACGTAATTAAAACCCACTAAAATGGAAATCAGAAATTGAGCAGCTTTTGTCTCGCAGGGTGTTTGCACAGTTTGATGAGAACATCTGTGATAAATTATAGTCCCAAATCTGCTAAGGGCATCAGCGGTTTTTTACCTGTTTTCAGCATTACTGTTACAGGAACACTGCACGTTATTTCTGCATTCAGAATTCAGGTTTTAGGACTGTGCCTTGCTGAATCATGTCAATGCTTTTGTTTCCCACATCCCCAAAGTCCAGTATTTTTGCCCTAAGCAAATTAAAAAAAAAATACAAAAAAAGCTTTTTTTCCCTACTTCTTCTCCTCAAAGGCAGCTTTGTGCTACTGCAAATATTTAATCTGACTACATACACCAAATCTGTTAATCTGATACTGTGAGGAGGAGGAAATCTAGGAGTGGTCCCGGTGTGGTAGTTGGTTTTGATCTGCTCTGAAAGAAAGTGGATACACTTGCATTTTTGACCAGGAACGATCTTTGAAACGTTCTCCGCGTGGCTTTGAAATGTTGATTGTCTTAGCCGGATAAAAAGATTAAGGTGGCTCATATAATTAGCTGCTTCCTGGAGAGCCAGCTCCTGCAGGTAGGGCAGGGAGCATTGTTTTCTATTGTAAACCCCGAAACTTTGTAGTTTGATGCTCTGTTCCCCTTGAAACCCTTGCACAGTGTTTCCTGCTGCTTTTCCACATCAGTCCCGGCCTTCTGCCTCCTGCTGACCGGCCGCTCTCCTGCTTGGATCCTGGGGGGAAGTGTTATCCCACCTCCTGGGACTCTGGCAGCTGCTGGTCACTCAAAGTCCGGGCCCTGGGTATGGCTGAGCTGGTGTCAAGGTGTCTGAATCCCAGCAGAAGGCAGTGTTGGGAGCCTGGGTGCAGAGGAGTTTGTAGCAGGTTTGGGTCAGGTTGAAATTTTACTGCTCCTTGGTATTTGAAGTTTCAGGGTTTTCATGGAAGGTGGGACAGAAAGAGCTGAGGCAAGTGAAGAAGAGGAAGCAGACAAGTCTGTCTGACAGCACTGATGTTTATGTGGAGAGTGAGTGGCCAGAAAAGGGCAAAATCAAGTTGGCCAGGGCTGAGAACTGGTGAGGGGCAGATGACATTCCAGGCCTTCTTGTGGAATCCAGGCAGAGGCACTGCAGCCACTACAGGACTCATCCCTGTGTTGTCTGCAGGCCAGCTGGGAATAGCGCTAAGCTCTCTCTCTCCTCTTTGGGACCCTCATGTGAGCCTATGATGGGAAGCTTTCCCCAGGCTGTTGCTGGAGTAAGGAGAATTGTGATGCAGCTGCTCAGGTCTGGTGCATCTTCCCTGATGCCCCAGGGCTGCCATGGGACCCCCGTCATCCTGGAGTGATGGCAGTGTGTCCCCACTGAAGGTCTGTACAGTCAGCAAGGGGAAGGTCTTACTCCTCTACCCAAACTGCTGTTCCCTGGGGAGGTGGGTGGCATCTCTTGCTTGTGTTTGATCCTGTTCCTGCCAGATGGTGTTCATAGCTCTTCCTTCCCATTAGAACTAAAATCCCTTTCCCATCCATCCCAAACTTGCTCTCCTCAGGGACAGTCTGCATTCAGCTCATGACAGATGCCCTAAATCGCAAGGTTAGTAGGGGAAATTTTGTATCAGGGTCCAGCTTCCTGCCAGCCTGTTGGTGGGGAAGCTGTCAGGCTGGTGAGGAGCTGCCAGCACTCCCTTCTCTCCCCTTTGGCTGTTTGGGAAGCTCTGACTCTGGTCTCCTCCGGCTGGTATCATTTCTAACTGCAGGGGGAGATGTTAAATATCAAACCAGTGTTGATTGGATCAGAGACGGCCTCAAAGAAAGAAACCTCAGACTGTGCCAGATTAAACTTCACACTTCACCATTCTCCCCCTTTCATTTCTTTGCCGCCTCATTCTCTGCACAAATAAACCTCATCTCCCCGCTTTCTACCAATGAGGCAGCATTCATGGGGCAGGAATGACTTTGTTAACAAAATCAGTCTTCATTTCCCAGGTCCTGCTGTTCCATCAAACCCTGGGACATGGCAGCTTTGATTACTCTGGTGATAGGATTAGAGGGGGGAACAAGTGCTGGTTAATAAAAGGCCGATGGGTGGTCCATCATGTTTGGTCACCGACAGCTCTGCAGCCTCGAAGCTGGATCTTCAGTGGCAAAACAGTAATATTCACAGTAATATGTAGGTAGGGCCACATCCTGGAATCTCTATTCAATCTGCCCTGTCCCCTTGAAAAACTAAATATTTCTGTGATCACAAAGCTGGGATTCTCCAAGCTGACAGGACCAGTGTAACTGACTTCAAGAGATATTTACTTATTTGTCCTAATGAAAGATCTGGGCTCAAGTTTTCTGAACTGAATTAAAGGGTTCAATTTCAGAGCTAGCTGACTTTTGATAGTCTGTATAGTTTATATGAGGGAGTATTACTGATTACTTTTTTTTTTAATATTTGAAATAAAAATGCATTTTGTCTAGTAGAAATGGCACCTTCTTGCTTTTATAGAATTTCAGGCTTTGTGAAGAGAGCAGGAGTCATCAAAAACAGCATTACCTGTTTTGATTGCTGAATGTTTTGAAAGAAATGTTGTTAAAGGGTTTGATTTCACATAGCTATACATAGTGCACATAGTTTTCAGCTTGCTGTCTTTTGTTAAACTATCACTCCCTTCACCCTCTTATGCCCCAGGGTAAAAAATCCCCCAGCAAAATTAACCTCGGGGTAGAAATTCATACAGCAGAAATAGAAATCCTTCCACTTAATTCCCTTTAAATACTAGTGGGAACTGCTTTATGTCTTCACCAGGGGAGCTGTTGAGGATGAAACAATGCAAGTATTAAAACTACAGTAGTGGCTCTAGCAACTGAAGGGATCAGCAGCTGAGGTTTTATAGCTGTACCCACATGTAGGTGTTGCTCTGTACAGCCAGTGACTGCGTGCTCCTGCCCCACAGCCC